TTATGCTTTGTTTAAAAAATCTTTTAAAGTGGATCTTTTTTAATAGAAAATATTTTATTCCTCTGTGTTCTTGTGAATGGTTTGATTTTAATACATTTTATCTATGAAATTATAGTATTTAAAATTATGTTTGTGAGCATCATTTATTTTTGCTAAATTTGGGGTTTTTTTTTGCATTTGATTAATTCCTTTCTCATCACTGTTTTAAATAGGAAATAATCCTTACGGAGTTTTTGTAAGTAGCAAGTCATATATACACACATTTATATTCTGTTGTGTTTCTTAATTCCTCCATCTATAGTATGTAGCATTACCTATGGCAAAGCCAAAATGCTACAAACAAAGTGTTTCTTGAACTCTGGGCCACAGCTTTGTGGTTTCTTTTACACTTTATGCAGAAGAGAAGAGTAACTCTTCATTTTTAACTGAACAGCTAACCTTCCTGTGAAGCTAATCATTGCAGTGGTTTGGATTAACTGATAGGATGTTGTAAGGAGCTCTGGTGGTATAGTGGCTTGACAATACAGCTGCCTACCAAATGCTTGGTGATTTGAAATCACCAGCCTCTCCTCAAAGGCAGGATGAGGCAGCTTGCTTTTGTAAAGATAATAGTTTGGGAACCTTTGAGGGGTAGTTCTGTTCTACCTTACAGGGACTGAGTCAGAATAAGCTGCAGAGCAGTGGATATGGAATGTCTTAGTGTAGAAGCTCAGGTACTCCTGGGATGGTCATGGACGGCGTTCTGTAATAAAGAAACTAAATTTGCCTTTGGTATCTTTTGCCTTTGTTTTCTTTATACATCTTTTTGCATCAACTTGGAAGGCAACCACCATCACCATCTGCAACAATCCCCAAGGTATATGTTCTTTCCCTGCCCATCAGTAATAATGCATCTGTGTGCCTTTTTTTATTTTAAGTATATAAACTTACTTGTGTGTCATTCTCTCACCTTCCCCAATAACTGAAGTTAAATAATTAATTGCATTCCCACTGAGATATTAAATTATATTGATTGCTAGTTGATTCTCTTTATTCTCAGATAATATTTACATTCCTTTTCTTTTTAGAGTGGTTTGGGTCCATTTTACAGACCAGATTAGTTTTCCATTCAGCACTTTATACACGGTTAGTTTTGTATCCTTGTAATTCTCTCAATATAGCATCATTCTTCCCACGCCTTCTGGGTCCCTGTGTCTTACCCTGCTTGTTTTCTGAGCTTTGTTCAGGGGCATATTCTGCCCTTTGATCTGGTGTGGTTAATTATTCTGAAGTGTA